CTGATCCGGATGACTACAAACCGATCCTGAATGCTTTGTCGACTTTAACTACCACTTTGTGGTTTCGATCATTTCCGATGAGGTCCCTCAAGTGTACATAGACCACAAAATTGAGAACCTTTGTTTCAGTTTTTGCAATCATTAACCATGCGCTTTCGTGCGCCGGTTTTGGTTGCTGTATTCTGACTGCCCATTTAGATAAAGCAGTAGGAGAAAGACAGGAAAGTTGGTAGTAGAGTCGAAAAGAAAACGGAGAAGTTTAGTTAACTAAGATTGCAAAGAAATTGAGAAGATGCACGACACAGCCATATCACTCAGTGTCTCTAACCACCAGTTACGATCATCCCGAGAGCCGAACGCGACTTATATGACCGAGTGTCCTGGTTAGGGTTTTCATAACTGAATACGAGGTCTTATTTGAACCACCATAGAAACGATCACGAACTTTACGTCACAATTCAGTTTTCGTTTGTCTCCGTCTCTGTACTTTACAGTTTTCGCACCCTGTTTGTGTACCACACGGTTAAATTGCCCTTCAGCTTTACGACGATTCGTCACGTGGTCGAACTTCGATCGAAACTCGGCCGGACAGACAACCGCAAACAATTTTGGTCAGTGCTGCAGATAACTGCTACCATTTTCAGATAAAACAATCCTCAATAACTACACACACATAGACAGGGCAAATGCGTGGCATCTGGGTGTATGAGAAAATAAGGTATGCACCTATTCTGTGCCTTTGGTTCTCTTTTAGCAAATTTTTCCTTTGTGCTCGTTTGCAGTCGAGTTGGAAAGCGTCTCACCATTATTTTCCACTAAAAGTAGGATTTGAAATTGAAAAGTGAATCTTTCCAGTTCAGTTCAAATCAGTTTGTTCAACCACCTTGTACTTTTTTAGGCCAATTATGGCTGTGGCCTTTCGTCTACCCAATTGGTCAAAAAATGACGAAGGAATAGACGGTAAGCCTAGAGAAAAGATGAGAGAGGTACTAAATGAATTTGAGAGGAAACGGAGTAGATGCACAGTGTCAACACCGTCAGTCATGTCGCTCAGTGCCTATGACCATTGATTAGACTGATCCCGTGGTCACCAATCAGGGAAAACTAACAAGATCGAGTTCCCTGGTCAGGGTTTTCATACCCTCGTAACAGTTGCTTTGACTCTTCTTCTAACCGGATCTGGAAAACATGGCACATTGCGAAAGACTATCTGATGACGTGCGAGACATTCTCCAGCCATAGCAACTCATGGAGTTTGAGCCCTTGCGTCAAAAGGCTACGGGATAAACTAAAACGCTGCGCGTAACTTTGCAATGTATTAAAGCTGGTAAATACGACCGCAATTTAATTTCACTGATTATGCAAAAGATGTCAGGTGCTGACTTGGTTTGGCCACTTTGACTCTGTGGCACAAATATTTACAAACAACCAGCGTTTCCAGCTCAAGAGCACATCGGTTGACAGTTCCTGATGAAAAGAGAAGCAAGTGCAGCAACATTGCACGATTTATGTCCTGGACGATTTCGCTGCACCCCCCGGTTAAAGCGTTTCAGGTTCAGTTTTTACAACCATTAACCATGAACTTTCGTGCGCCGGTTTAGGAATTCATATAGTGGTGTCAGGAGAATAACGAGTGGATGCACGAGCGCCACTGTTTGCGACACCCAGCCATATCACGCAGTGTAACTAACCATCGGTGACCATCATCCCGAGCTCCCCAGCCAGGGAGCCTAACGGGGCCTATGTGATCTAGTCTCCTGGTTAGGGTTTTCATACCCTCATGCCAGGTCTTAGTTTGGCCACCCTTTATCTTTTTCCAATCGCTACCAGTCTTGGCAAACTATCTGGCGACATACGTAGCACATGTCCCAACCGGTTGAAGAACGCCCACCTTTATAGACCAAATCAGACATGATCTATCAATTTCACTTATATGGGCAATTACGTAATCTGGTTTTTAGGACACATTTCGAACTGGGATCAACGCACGGTTGCCACTTCAAGGTTCACACAGCTGGTAACCGGCACGAATAATGCTTACAAAATACCAAATTCTCCAATTGCCAAGCATTTTTTGATGACGCAGCACCTGGTTGATCGAGAGAAAGCATTTCGAGTGATTTATAGTGATGATAACGCCAGAATGCTTGAGATCGCTGAGGCGATTGCAATCAAGCGATAGAAACTAATCTTGTGTTAACAGAAGGACTTGTTCATCACCCTAGCTTCTTTGCCTTGATGACCCTTCCCACATTCACGTTTGCTCATTTTGTAATCCATTCCCGAATCATATAAACCAGTTGAAATGCATAGAAATCATCAGGATATAAATCATGCAATGCTGCTATACTGGCTTCTGATTTCAAATTTATTACGAGAAAAACTTGTTTCAGTTTCTCATGATTTGATTCGAAACCCCACACACCAGAAGAGGGTGCACTTTATCAAGAGAAATACATAAGCGTGTACACATGGTGTTTTAGAAGAACAGAAACCGATCAAGTTGACGAAAAATGAAGCGACTGTGTGATCAGTGTTTAAAAGATTGATTAAAATCCATTCACATATGAACACAATTCAAATCAGTACGATGATTCCGAGGAACACGGACCACAGTGTAATCAGTAGTGAATGACATGTTGAGTTG